CTGGAAGAACACCTGAAGCAGTCTAAAAACCACTTACCCTGCTGCCGCTGCCGCCACCACTGCGCATGGGGGGCACAGGGGCCAGCAGGGGTGCCCTCACCCCGAAGCTCTGCCTCGCAGTCCCAGCAGGATGGAGGGTGCCAGGCTGGGGCCCCTGTAGCACTGGGAGCCCTGTAGTGAGGGCTCCATCCCTGGCAAAGCAATGGGGGAGGGGAGGCAACACATTGGCCGGCGGCTGTGGGGACTGATGGGAAGCTCCAGCCTCCCCCCCCCCCATGGGAAGCCCCACCCCCCCCCCCCCCCGTGCAGCACGCGCGGACACACACACACAAACACTACCACCCCTTGGCCGTCTCCCCCTTCCGACCCATCCGCTCAGCCCTGGGCCACCTCGCCACCCGTATAAGAAGAAGCCCCCTGCTCTAGCCTGGGCCACCTCGCCCTCCACCCCTGTGGCTGGCCAGCAGGCTGTGGGCTTCCCAAAGTGCTTTATCACGGGCTTGCTGGGAAGAGCCAGGCGGGCCAGCGGCGGTTGGCACCAGAGAGCGAAGGGCCACTTTCTGATGGGGGACACCCGCCCAGCACCCCTGCCTTGTTGCCCTCATGGGGGAAGAAGCCCTTCCGCCCGGATGCCCACACTGCTTGCCTCCTGACTGGCTTCTCCCCCCCCCTTGACACAACCGCCAAAAGCAGCCCCAGAAGTGGGGTGACAACAAGGGCCAGGTCAGGCTACGCCACACCTACCTGCCCCTGGCTGCCCACCTGAGACCCTATTTGCAGCAAGGACAGCCAGGCGGCTCATTGCAGGCGTGGGGTGGGCCAAGGCTGCCGGAGCCCCGTCTGCGCCCAGGCTGCCTCAGTCCCCTGCTCAATGGGAGGAGGCATGCAGTACAGCTCTCTGCCATAGAGCCATCTTGCAGCAGCCGGCAGCGGAGAGACCGACCTGGCATGCCCCGTTCCACTCCACTCGCCTGGCTGTGCAGCACCAGGTGGAGCGAGGTGGCCTGGAGCCCCCTGCTCAATGGGAGGAGGCATGCAGTGCAGCTGTCTGCCACAGAGCCATCTTGCAGCAGCCAGCAGCGGAGAGACCGACCTAGCACGCCCCATTCCACTCCACTTGCCAGGCTGTGCAGCACCAGGGGGAGCGAGGTGGCCTGGAGCCGGAAAGGGTGCACTGATGGCCACAAATCACTCACACTGCCTGCTTCACGACTGCCTGGGACCGGAAACCAACCTGGGGGGGGGGCAGGTTCTGGAAGAGCCGGGAGCAGTGGGGCCAATGCGGAGTCCTTTTGCACATGCTCTGAGCGAGTGCTTGTTGCCCGTTTTTCTTCTACCGAGGGTGGGGCAGAGCAGGGCTTTTGGCGAGGGAAGGGAGAGGAGGGGCAGGGCAGGCTCGGAGCCACCCAGAACACCATTCCGGTGCATTCCACCCTAAAATAGCACTGATTATGCATACACAGGTGCGGATCTCTGGGTAGAAGAAAGTAACAGAGAAACAAGTGTTATACTTAGGTATTCTAAGTATAGTTCCAACATTCTGTATGGTGGAGGACATTTGCACTGATCTATTTGTTGTATAGGCAAGGCCTAATAACATGTAATGGAGTGAATGATTTCTTCCATAGCAATTTGTTTTCCTCAAACTCCTGTCTTTGTTTACATGCAGCACTTAAAACTTTCTTATGAATTCTCTTCTGTGCTGACCTTTGGAGGCTGCCATGATAATTTTATGATTGTAGTCAGCCAAGTGAAGGACAGGAGCTCTGGAAAAAGTACCCCTGAAAAATTGCTTTTTGCAATGGCAGCTCCAACGGTGAGTATAAAGCAAAGTGTAATAACTTTTTTTGTACGTGGTAATGTTTAGAAAATGGAATCCCGATAGGCTGCTGGCATTTTTTTTCTTTTCTGAATAAGAAGAGCAGAGAATGCCCTTCCAATATCCTTGGTACACCAAGTAATACAACATTATACACAGTAGCTCTGAAATACTTCCTCCTGATATCGTTCAAAATTATATCTTCCCGAAGTGATATTTTGATTCTGAAAGGTGTTAATTAGCCAGGAGAAGCTTACTTTAAATGCCTATTTGTATCTTGTTCTGTACGTGTTGTTAACGTGTTTAAATCAAAACTAAATATGAGTACAGAATAAATAGCTTTAGCCTTTGTTTTCAGTAATGAAAGATCTGCAAAGATGGCCTTGGAACTGGCTACTCTGTTCCTGTCTTACATTGTAACCTGATTATCACTGCACAGAACCTTGATTCAGAACATCCCAGAGCTAAGCTTTTATGGCACAAAATCCTCCCCCCTTTAAGTTGTCATCTATATATTCACACAGACCATCCTCCTTCCCCACAATAGGAACAAACTCTTAACTAGCAGTTATTCTTGAAAGAACTGAATGGAAAGCTGCAACCCCTCCCCTCTGGGAAGATGTGATGGTACACAGGCTCGGGGTGGGGTGTTCGCACCTAAAAGTCCAGCTCACTGGTATGACTGTACTGATGACCAGACCATCAGTTACAAGTAAACAACCTGTTCTTCCTCTGTGGGATGTAAAATTTGCCTCAAAATATCCAGAACAGAAGTGGCATGTAAATCATTCAAGCTTAGAAGTGGGCAGAGTGCTTTGGGAGGAGCCCATACCTCAGTGGCAGGGCATATTAGTAAGATGTGCATATAACAAGATCTCCTTAGCTTCAGGCCCTAGCATCTCTGATTAAAGGATTTCAAATAATAGAGGAGGGAATACCGGGGTTTTTGAAGGGCCACTGGCGCTTGGGATTGACAACACTGGGCAACATGGGCCCGACTCACTATATTGCTTTACCTTAAAGATCATCTTACAGTAGGTCCAGTAAAATGAATGCTATTGGAATATTTCTTCCCTTTCCTCTCTCTCCCCATCCCTCAAGCAGATTGTTGAAGTGACTCTCCTTATCGCCAGTTATATTAACTATTGTTCGACTCCACACCCTCCTACTCCAAGCATCAGTTCAACATGGAGTACATCATCTGCTAAGAAGCTCATGGAAATTGAAAGCAGATGTCTCTTTCCTTCTCTGCCCCGGACCACTAAGGGGCCAACCCTGCTGTAAGGCCCGTTTTCCTTTGCCACACTGTGAATCAAGGACTACTGTGATTTCACTGCTTACCTGCCTGTGACCAGGCAGGCTCCAGGTCTACCTCCTTGGTAAAGTGCAACATTCCTAGAGACTTGTTTAGAGTTAGACTCCTCCTACCTGCTAGATTAGTGGGGGGGGGCATCTATTTTGAACAGATTGTGCACCTTTTATAAATGTTTGTCCTTCCTTCTTTCTACCTAAATGAGACCTGCATTGCTCCCAGTCATGCCCAAATATTTTCCTCTGTGAATGGCTTCACAGACTCCCCCTTGATTGCACTGAAGCCATTGAAGCTATTTCACATAGCTGCTGTCCCTAACTTCTTGTGTTTTTGATGTCATGCCTTATTTCATACTGCAATGCCTAAGTCCAGTGTTCCCTCCAAGCTGAGTTAGTGTGAGCTAGCTCACAGTTTTTTAGCCTCCAGCTCACACATTTTTGTCTTAGCTCAGGAAGGATGGCTCCAGAGCAAGCTAATTTATGCAGTAGCCAAATCGCTTGCTCACAACTTTAATGCCAGTAGCTCACAAAGCAGAATTTTTGCTCACAAGACTCCACAGCTTAGAGGGAGCATTAGTGCCTACTGTTAGAATCTGTGCTAAACTTATAAAATAACTTGACCCCTTTAATATCCTTAGTAATGTTGCCTACCCATCTCAGCCAGTAATTTATTTGTTCTTGTGTTGGTTCTTTTCTGTGTTGGACAGCAAAAGCTCCAGGAATGGAAAACTGATTTTGAGTATTCATCTCTTGATTTTATCTTCTGCATTTCTTCAATTAACCTAGTGAAAACAGCATTCCTGTTTACCTGAGTTTTTGATTTTTCTGAATATTTTGGTTCTCTCCTTCACCTCTACTAAGGTCCCGGTCACACGGGCAGGAAACTGCGGGGGGGAAGTGTGGCAGTTTGCCCCGGGGCAAACTAAGGCGCGGTTACCTGATCAGACCTCCCGTGGAGGTACTGTGGAGGTTCCGTGGGAAAGGAGAGGTGCCGATCGCAGGACAATCCCGCGCGCAAAAACGAAGCGCGCGGTTCGGCAAACTGGATATTTTTTTTTTCTGTACAGCACGACTGCGCATGCTCGGTAGGGTGCTTTTGCGCATCCACGAAGACATGGGGGAAAAAACGTTTTCGCGAGGACGGGAACATGGGCGGGCGCCGGATGCCTCCGGAAACGCGATCAGACGCCCGCCCTTGCCCCGCGGTTTCCGGACACTAGTACCTCGGAGGTACTAGTTTTTTGCCGCGTGGTTTCGGCAGGAAGCCTCGTTTGAGCCACGGGAGTGCTACCCTTCCCAGATGTGCCGGGGAGATCGCGCCCGGAAAACCCGCATGTCTTCCGTCTGACTCGCATGGCTAATGTTCCGTGTGACCGCAGCCTAAATAGGGTAAATGAAATTATACTGTATTTCTCATAACAGTGTTAGCAGAATGGTGCTTTGAACATCCTGTAATAACATACTGATTACATAAATGCAGACAGTATTACTAGTCTCAAGCAGCCTGCTAAGAGATTTCATACAATTTAGTGAAGAACTAAAGAGAGAGTTTATGATGAGGAGAAAAGCCTCAAAGGCTTTTATACTTGTTTTTCACAATATTTAGCACTCAAGAGGAATGGTGAAAACTTGTTAGGAGAGCTGTTGTTTCTAAAGAGAGTTTGGGATGAGGAAATACCTAGGTTGTGGGTATTCCTCAGCATGAAGACCAGCTTCTCACAAGATTAATATTTAGTTCTCTGAGTAGAAATTTAGGCATGAGATGTTTAATACAGGGATTCCAGGCTTGCAAAACAATTTTGTCTGGTCTGTTACCTTGATGCTTAGGGAAAAGGAGAAGCTGCCAGTTAGCTTGTAAGAACTTCTTTGCAGAAGCAGTTTGCAATTATTATCACATCAATTACAGTAGATGGAATCTTCGAGGAGGTGAACATGGTGGTCCAGCATTATGAACCCTCTTGAGCCTGTGGGCACCTTTGGAATTTTGAGCGGGGGTGGTGAGTACTACCTCAAAATGGTTCTCATAGGACACAGAGCCAAACCCAATTCCTCCCCCTTCACATTGCAAAAGAATCTCAGAAGGGGAATAAAAGAAACTTAAGGAAACCTCAGGGGAAGGAATGGAGAAAGAGAAGGGGTAATAAAAAGAAGGAAAGCCTGAAGAGGGAATGAAAATCCTTACTAGTCCTCCTAATCCTCCAGTGGCTGCTGCCATTATTGGATTCATGGAAAACCCTTTCATTTGAATGAGGGAAGTCACTAACAAGCCCTGCTTTACAAAGGCTCCTCTCACTTTCTGAACATCTTGGCAGGCAGCCGGAGAAACTATGGCATCCACAGGCATTACGTTGGGGAACCCTGATCTAAAGATATTGATTTCTCAAAGTTCAAGCTCAGTTCTCCTGATGTTTTTACCTTTTGGTTACAGAAATAATTACTTGTACCTATTCCTTAGTCTTCCAAGCAACAGCACTTAACCAAGCTTAAACAAAGAGGTTTCGTCACATTCTTGGAATTTTTCAATGGAATGGCATATACTGATCTTTTGTTTTATGTTACTTTCCTGGCCCTGGCACAAGGTATATTCCTTGTAGTAGACACCTGAAGCATGTTATACATGCTACTCCTAGTGGTAAGTTTGCCTCCAGTCTTTAATACAATCAAACATACAATGGCCCTCTAAGGTTGCGATCACACACAACAAATAATCCACTTTCAATGCACTTTCCAACTGGATTTTGCCAGTTCACACAGTAAAATCCAGTTGGAAAGTGGACTGAAAGTGGATTGAAAGTGGATTATTTAGTGTGTGTGACCACAGCCTAAGCTAACCTAACCAAATTTTAATCAAGGTACAGGGAGCACTTTGCCCCCAAATTTACTTATAAGGAAAATACTTTTTTTCCAAAAGAGATAAGAGGAGGAGGTTTTATATATCTGAATGTTTATGCTCCTCTTTTCTTTGAGTTTAATGTATTACTGGTCTAGTTGTCTCTGAGTGGCTATGCTCTATAAATGTGGTGCTGACTTTCTCATAGAAGTTGACTGCCTGTGAAGGAGTTGGATTTGTGTGGTGAAATGCAACTCTGGTCTCTGGAGAATACCATAGTTACTGGTCATCTTGTTTGAGAGCATGAGCTAAAAAAATGGAAACTGGTTTTACACTGAAGCATTAGGCAGTTTGCAGTAAAAAGAATTTCAACAAGTTCCTGTGTTAAATGTTGCCAAAACAAACTCTGACAGCTGGTACCTCCAAAAAGGATTTTAAAGTTATAGAGGGTAACAAAATCCAAAAACAAAAGCCTTATAATACCTTTTAACGTCTATCCAATATAATACAACACACTGAGTTTTTGAGTTCTTCAGAATTATTCATCAGGCTGGATGTTAAAAGACAAAAAGAGGGGGGAATAAAAATATATCTGGTCAGGATTTTACAGCCCCTTGTCAGTATCCTGTGCAGGAGGCTTTGCTGCCTACAAAGGACACTTGTTGTGGCTAGTACTGGGTAATGTCTTTGGCATGCTGGGAACCAGAAGAAAGATAGGAGAAGCCATCCAATTGAAATGCAACAACCATTCCTTGATCAAATGTCTTTCTGATGCGGAACAGAACACACAGGTATCTTATTTTTGAGATTTTGATATGGACCAATGCAGTTATCTACTTTTTTCCCTATTGGAAGATAACATGATGAATGAGTTATCACTGTGATATTGTGGCAGTGGTGCAAATGGCCAGTGCTGTTTTAGGGTGCCCCATACTATGAAAGCAATGCTGAGTGGGGGAAGTCAATCATGTAGTCATATCACAAAGCAGAGTGGTAGTGTATGCTATGGAGAAAAATTCAACACGGAGATGTTATTTGTAGAGCCAGCCTCATGTTCAATGTAACACATAATTTTGCCCTGAACAAATGGTTTGAATGTAACTTACCTTGAGAAGGATGTAGTGTTGTTTTCTGGGAGAATGCAGATCTTACTGACACACTAGAAAGATGCATTATAAGGACAACGATGGATCTTGAAGTCAAATCATATTGCTGAAGGAACTGGTTATATTTCACCAAAAGAAAAGAATGCATGCCTATGCAAACCTACTTGAAGAAAGTCCTAATAAACTCAGTGGGACTTACTTCCAAAGAAAGATACATAGAATTGCATTACTCGAGGGAAAAATCAGTTTTTAAACTATTTTGGGTGTCCCAAAGATGTGCAAAAAAAAGATGTGCAAAATTCATCGCATGCACCATGGACCAGAAATGAAGCAATAGCTCAGAACTACAGGAGGACAGATTCAGTTTAAACATTTAGAAAACAGTATCAATAATATAACTAATGAGAAGAACAGTTAGCAAGCAACAGATCAAAATGACTGGGAAATCTGTGGAATATCTTCCCTAGAGAATGCTGGGGAACACTGCATATGTTTGGGGAGTTTTAGAAATGGCTGTCATAACATAACCCTGACCTGGATTGCCCAGGCTAGCCTGATCTCAGAAGCAAAGCTGGTTAGTATTTGGATAGGAGACCACCAAGGAAGTCCAGGGTTGTGATACAGAGGCAGGCAATAGCAAACCATGTCTGAACACCTCTTGCCTTGAAAACCTCAGAGGATCACCATACGTTGGCTGTGGCTTGACAAGCACTTTCCACCGTTATCAACTGCCATAAACCAGATGGTGAATGATCGGCCGGAGGGGGGGTGGGGTCCCATCCAACTGAATGATTCTATGTAGCCATACATTAAAATGAATAGTGAGGGGAAAAACATTTTCACAAAAAAATCCATATTGCTTGAATTGAGAAGATTATGTAATACAGAGTAGCAATAGGAGAATTCGTGGCATATTTTAACTTGGAATTTTACTAGAACTTACATAGCCAGATGATTTGAGGGGTTTAACAAATACTTGAATGACAGAGAATATCCCTAAACATGCTACAGGACAGATATTCTGTATCCTGTGTTGT